CCACCTGTAGTCCGTCCCATTACCTGACTCTATTGGTTACTGGGGGATGACGTAACCAATAGAGTAACCCCAACAATGACGTAACCCCAACATCCTTTGTCTCTAGGGAGGCATCTGGTCCAGGTGTGAGGTTGGGGTGCCAAGCAACCTTTGATTTGTAAATAGCTTTAGCTGGGTCCCAAGCTGTAAACAGGAAATAGTCTCTTGAGATGCAAACCAGAACCTTTCAGGGTTACTTGTTAGCTTGTAATTCCTTCATGGTGGATGACTTGTTGTTTCTAATCACTCCTTGGCTGACCACAATGGAGTTGCCTCCTTCTTCCCAGGCTGGGTAGATGTGTGTGTGTGTGTGTGTCACTTCAATAGCATACCAGCGCAGACAACCTAGCAGCTTCCAGGTGTAACAGTCACATCAAACAATAGCACACAGTTTCCCAAACCCATAGATATTGGCAAATATAGTCCATGTGTGTGTGTGTCAGCAAACACAAATAAAAAGCGATTTACATGCAGTTTCCCCAACATTTGGCTACATTCTGGTTGCATTCTTAGCAAAAGACGACCATATCTAAGCTTTTCTTGTACCTCTCAGAAGACTTGGGTGTTCCAGAAGTAATTTTACCCTAGATTGGTTTTAGCCATTTAATTCTACCCTTTGAGTACAAAGGGCATCAAATAATAAGACAGATTCTCAATCTTCTGTGAATCACACAAAGAAAGATCACCCAAAATCAAAATTTTTACATTGCACCTTCCTGCACCTTCATAGGCACTGGAGCCTAAAATGAAGTAAAGGCTACCCTTAATAGATAGAAAAATAACCTGCACAGATTGTTTTTGCTAGCTTAGAAGTTTATATCATGGGACAATAGTTTAAGAAATGAGTTGGCCAAGAGGAGGAGGAAGGAAGATGAATGCTTGGTAGCTCCTTTAAAGCTCAATCAGATGCTTTCTTTTTTGTGGAGAGCATTGTTTCAGTATAATCAGACCCCCATGATTCAGAGAGTGGGGAAGTTCCAGGCCCTGTGGGTCCTCATCTGTACACAGAAGTGGAACTTGGGTGAAGTGTTGCAGACTTGCTGAGCTCTCTGCCAAAGTGTGCAAGGAAATAAGTATGTGACCCTCCTATTGTCCTGTTTACACTCAGCAGCACCCACCTTGTATGTGCAATTAATTGTACTGGTCTTTGTGTATGACAATCACCATACACTGGCATATTAGTCATACTGAAAGACAGCAGAACTCTGGAACCAATTTGCCCTGCAATGACCACATAGGGCAATATTTTATTTATTTATCGTCTTGACTGTTTTTGCAACCGGAGGCATAAACAGCAAACCCTCATCCCACAATAAACCTTGTTCCATAGGAAAACATGGAAGAATTTAAAGGCTGCTACTGCAAAAGTTGTCATGTGATTTGACAACAACTGCTAGAAATTTTGCCACATGCAGAGTAGTTTACTTGTCTTCATCTCTAAGTAACCAGGATGATTTTGCTTCTGCAGAGAGGAAGTCCTGATTAAATAAAGGGGAGATCAGTTCATCTCTTTGAGATGAAAATTTGGGACAATCAAGCAAAATATGACCCACAGAGTCAATTTTACTGCTGCCACAATTACAGCATCTATCTGAGTATGAAATCCCACTAAATCTTCCTGGCATCACAGCTGAAGGTAGGGCATTCAGACACACTAGCATGAATGCCCTTCTATACTTTGGAAGAATTATCTCAGATAAGTAGTTTGGCATTGTTGTTGGAGGTTGAATGCCAACTGAAAAGGTTGAGCACACTCTGAGGGCTCTAATCGACGTACTCTCATAGTCAAAGTCTCTCAAATGTCTTCTAATAAGCTGTGACAGTTCTTCTCAACTTGTGACTTCTATCATGTCATGGGTGATACCAGACATAATAGTTTACAGTCCAGTAATCTGTCCCAATCACTTGTATGGCAGTCCAACTAAACTAGTCCGAGGAGGTTCACACAGGGCAATAACTATATTACAAGAGTGCAGAGCTCCAGAACCGTGTATGACTCTAATTACAGCTCAGTAGTGCTGCCTACTGCCTACATAGTGCTAAATGTTGATGAATTAGTACTAATGCCTAAGATTGGGCTAAAATGATGCAAAGATACTTCCAGGCTGATGGTAAAGGTCCAGTGCGATCCCCACACTTACCTTCTCTTCCCGGGTAGTCCCTGCACCTTCTCCTAAGCTGATGTTCCGAGGCTGCAGCTCCAAAAGGGTATGGAACAACTTTTCTGAAGTTTGGGTCAAGAAGCCAATCTCTGCATTGGGGTGGAGGCCATAAAGGTATGGTGACTCAGCAGGCAGGGCATCATCTATATACTGGGCAGGAAAACCAAACCTACATTCAGTAAGATAACAGACACCACGCACAATTCTGTCAAAGGGGATGCAAGCTTCAGAGCCACTAGGAAACCAAAGATGGAGCTGACAAGAGCACTGAGATAATGATCAGCAACACCAGACAAGCCCAAATTGGCAGTTGCTATACTTGGCCCTTGTTTCAGAAAGGGATCAATTTCTTGACTTGATTTGGTCTGTGCCTCAGCAGCAGTTGAGTGTTTAGCTTAACTACGAAATACACCATACTCTAATGAGTGGTCTCATATGTTTGTCTTTAAAAAAAAAAATGCTATTGTCATTCTCCATATCCTATCCCCTCCCTGCAAACTGAAAATGAACCAGTAAACAGATATAGATTAAAAGGTGCTCCCAGACACACCCAAGAAAAGTTGCTATATAAACAAAGTATTAATAAAGACCAATACATAATGGTAAGATTAATGAACACCTCTGTCATCAGAGAACTCTAATCTGGAGAACCAGGTTTGATTCCCCACTCCTCCGCATGCAGCCAGCCAGGTGACCTTGGGTCAGTCACAGTTCTCTCAAGAGCCGTTCCCTCAGAGCTCTCTCACCCCACCTATCTCACGGGGTGTCTGTTGTGGGGAGAGGAAGAGATTGTAAGCCGCTCTGAGACTCCGAGTCCAACTCTTCTTCTTCTTCTTCAATTAGGCCTGCTCTAGTCTGAGAAACAAAATTGCTCTCCTGTTCATGCATGAACTGACTAAAACTGTCATATTAGTTCATGCATGAACTGACTAAAACTGTCAGTAGTACTAATCTTCAAACTGGGACCCACTCACCAGAAGAAAGCAACAAATATGACCTGGAAATCTGCATTTCTAATTATTTCCTCATAAGACTGATAGAAAATGAACATAAGTGGGATAAACAAAATGGCAACAAGTGGGTTACCAGGTGATAGCCATTGTAGTCCATGTTCCCTGGGAGGGGAAATCCTGGAGCCAGTGAGAATTCTCCCTCCAGCATTTCAGGCTTGATGAATTCCTCCAGGTAGGTCTTACAGAGGCGCCTGTCCCAGTCATCTGTGATATGTCCTCCATACATGATCTCCCCAAAAAGGTACCGCAAGTCATCATAGGGTACCTAAAAACAACAGCAATGTGGGTGTGGGCAGATTAGGAGAGGTGCTGCTTCCTGGCAGCAGTCCCATGCTGTGGGCTCTTCAGGGTTAATACAGTTAATACTTTCATCACCAGATCCTTTTTTCTAAGAAACTGAACATTATGTAGCAATTAAATCTCTCCATGCTGCACACGGGAGAATTCAGGAAAAGCCCAGACTGCCGAACAGACTGTGTGTGTATATGTATGGTGCAGGGAAGGGTGGGAGGATTGTTTCTTAAAACAAGTCTTCCCCCTGTTCCCTACAGTGAACACATCTATCTTGGCAGCTGAACATTTCCAAATATTTTCATAGGGCTGTCATGGTGGCGACACAGACAAACCAAAAATTAGTGTTTACAGAATCAGGGACAGTTACAAAGAAAGATATAGATATATAATAGAAAGATATATAATAGAGCGGGTTGGAGGGGAAACTGACCTATGAGTAAAGCTATCAGAATCAGAGCCATGTAGCATATAATAAGCATCCAGAAACAAACACGCATGATTTTGTTGTATTGGGGGAGGGGCTATGGCACAGTGGTAGAGCATCTTGCTGGCTTGTGGAAGGTCCCAGGTTCAATCCCTAGTGTCTCCAGGACCTTCTCCTGAGACTCTGGAGAACTGCTGCCAATCTCAATAGACAATACTGACCTTGATGGACTAAAGATCTGGTTGAGAAAAGGGCAGCTTCATGTGTCCATGTGTACAGGATGGTGTACATGACAAATCTCACACCCTCAGTTCCGCTCACCTTTGAACTGGCCTCCAAGTAATTGTAAAGAACATTGACTGAAATGGTGAGATCTCCCGTGTTGAAGGGGTACAGACGGTTCCAACCTTGTGGTCCAAATTTGCGCCTTTCTGCCACCACTGCATGGAAGTAGCACAGGGCAAAAAGGATGCTTTTAAACTCATTCTCACGGGTACACATCTCCAGGGTGTCCTGCAAGACAAACATGGGATGACTAATGTAAGCATAATATTGCATACTTAGCAGGGGCCTAAAAAAATTGCAGATAACCACACCTACACACTCTGGATAATCAAACAAGTTGCTATATCTAGGGTCAAAAGAATTTTTCTCCTTAGGTGAGATTTGTTGATGAAAAGAGTTATGAGAGGATCAAATCTAACTGCCTGTTTAATTCATTCTCCAGTTGCAGTCCAGGTAATGTCTCTACTTTGAGAGTTACTACTGACATAAGTACATTAAAAATTATTTTGCTATAAATGTGTACATCAGACGTAACTTGGAAGCTTGCTCTTGGGGTCTGTGTAGATAAGCAAGGATCATGTCACCTGCACTGTCTTTTGCTTTTTTACAAGCACTTCTGGCATGGTGCATTTTGCTATTCCTGCATTCTAATAATGACCTGGTACAATCTGGATATACATATTCTTGTACTGTGCAGGTTAATCTATGATAGAGGTGTTTTGGATGAGGTTAATCAGTGGACCCCAGAGAAGACTGCTGTGGACTTTTCAAAATATTCCCAGCCCAGCCATTCCAAACCATTACAACCCAAAAATGGATTCAAGCCTGTGCACATAGACTACTGTTCTGGCCAGTGTACTCTAGCTCCTCATAAAAGAATGAATGCAGAATAATAGAGAAGGAGGTGTGGTGGGGAATTAGCTAGAAGCTATCATTCAGACATGTAGGTCCTGTAAAAAGTGCCATAAATCAGAGTTCTGAGAATCTGGATCATGCCCCAAGAATTACAGGCTCTGGTATGCAAAAGTGAGACAAAAGCCTGAGACAAAGTTCTGGGACAAACATGCTCCACCCTTATATCTGTTCTCTAGCTGCAAGACTGAAACACCAATGTGGTGCTGATATAGTAGCAAGCCACACTCTTTATATAAAACAAACACGGTAATAAACTCTGCTCCAGAAGCTGCATTTGAATTAGCCTTCCGTTAGCTAGAACAGTAGCTCAAGGCAGTCAAACGATGTATCACGTGGCTGCTCCCACCCACAGCAGGACTTGAAAGGTAAGAGACATTTTTGTAAGAATCCAACAGTTGGAGAACATTAATTATGATCTGATTGCAGTAAGCAGAGGCAGGATGAAAACAACGAAATATTTTCCCCTCCCCTTTCCTGGAATCTCAGATGAATGACTATGGATGAAAACAAAACAACTCTTTCTGAATACTAGGGGTAACTTTCACCCAATTGCACTTGCCCAGTGGCTCCAGCTCTTATCCTGGAGAATATCATAAAGGCAAAAGCCATCAATACAGTTCAGCAACACAGTGTTCCACTAAGGAACTGAATCTACTGGTCCAGACTGGTAAGCACAAAGAACCCATTCCCATCCAAGTCCTGCAGCTGGTAGAGAATGCCACAGAGGCTTGCATAATGTTTCTTCTCTCTCCCCCGAAAGCAGAAAATGTGGTATCACAAGCAGTGTTCCCTCTAAGCTGAGTTGGCGTGAGCTAGCTCACAGTTTTTTAGCCTCCGGCTCACACATTTTTGTCTTCGCTCAGGAAGGATGGCTCCAGAGCAAACTAATTTATGCAGTAGCCAAATCACCTGCTCACAACTTTAATGCCAGTAGCTCACAAAGTAGAATTTTTGCTCACAAGACTCCATGCCTTAGAGGGAGCACTGATCACAAGTACTAGGCATGGGGGTGATTTCTGACTGTATGCTGCATCCATACAGTACTCATTTCTCTAGTTCCTACAGACACAAGCTTTAGTTAGTAAAGCTCTGGGGTACAGAATGTTGTTCCACATATTTATTTATTTTATTTTATTACATTTGTATCCCGCCCTCCCCGCAAGTGGACTCAGGGCGGCTCACATTTATCGGCAGCATGTGCCGAGTCAGCATAAAACTTTTAAAAGCAAATTAAAACAATCATACTGTAAACAAATTACAATTTAGTGCTCGCGATGGTAGAAAGCAACATGTTAGTCACTTTGTACAAAAGTGCCTTGGTTTGTATTGTGGTCCCCAACATTTCTGAGCCTGTGGGCACCTTTGGAATTCTGACACAGTGTGCTGCCACACGAGGCAGAGTCAGTTATAACATAGCTGCTGCAGAAGGTGGAACCCCACACCTAGGGGAAGCCAAATTGCAGAGGTAAACAGAATTATAAAAAAATATACTGGGGGGGAAATGAGTATGAGATACTAAAAGCAACACTGTCATGGCCGCTACCATTGAAACAACCTAATCTACATGATTGATCAGATCTCCAATGGTCACTAAGAAGCCCTGCTGGGTAACAGCCCCACGTGGACCCACACACTTTCTAAAAATGCTTGGTGGGCACCAGGAAAGGTGTCGATGGGTGCCATGGCTTCCACTAGCATCACGTTGGGGACTACTGGCCTGGAGAAACCCATTCCCCCGCTACCCACAGAAGTCAGTGCAAGTCCACAAAGCTATGTAGGTATGTGTTGTGGGGCACATGAATATATTGGCCATTTACTAGTTTGATCTTCTACATGGCTGCTGAAAAGCACTGCATTTCCTGCAGTAGACCAATACCTGGCTGAAGTTGTCCAGAGCCTTGTGGAAATTGGCATGCATCCCTGTTGGGGGCTCATTAGTGATTTTGATGGAGTTCTCCAGGATCCCCTGAGGTATGATGTGGCCCTCTGGCGAAGCTGCAGGTTCCACACTAATGAAGACACGGAACTCTCGATGGCTGCCTTCACTGTGCTCCTCGAGCTTCTTCTCCAGAGAACTCAGCCACTTGGCCACCAGGTGGATGTTCTAGTAGGAGAAAACAGGGTTCAGCATGTGGTTTTTACTGCAGCAAGCAGCAGCTGCCGCCATGAGTACCTTCTAGGAGGCAGAAAGCACTCCACCCACTCTAGCGTCAAGAGCAAGCACCTTGTTTAGTACCTCTCAACATTATAATTCTCTTCCACAGACATCAGCTGCACATAAAAGGATGCAGATTTTTATACACTTTGAAATGCAAAATAACCAAGACAAATAACTAGCAATTAAGTAAAAGCTCAGAGTTTTTGTTTTCTTAGGGATTATCATATTCTGCTTGTTAGAATAATGTACTGCTGCTGAAGTAACATTATTTCCTCCAGACAAAACACAGTTTCATAGGCACCTGAAATAAAATTGCTAATTTTCAACAAATAATTCACCCTTGAAATCTGAGCTCGTTACCAGAAAATCACATTTCACATCCTGCTCAACAGAGGTCTTTTCAGATTTCGAGTGTTGATGCCTTTACTAACAATCCAGTAATTAAGATACACACATGAACACCTGAAGCTGACTTATACTGAATCAGATCATCAGTCCACTCAAGTCAGTATTGTCTGTTCAGATTGGCAGGCTGTGGCAGCAGCTCTCCAGGGTATTTCACATTGCTTATGGTGTGTGTGTGTAAAGTGCCGCCAAGTCACAGATGACTCATGGCAACCCCAGCAAGGGGCTTTCAAGGCAAGTGAGAAGCAGCAGAGGTGGTTTGCCACTGCCCTTCCTCTGCAAAGTATCTCTTTGTGGTCTCCCTTTTAAGCACCAACTCTGTTTAGCTTCCAAGATGTGACGAGGTCAGGCTATACCATGCCCCCTTCCCTCTGACATTGCTTACAACCTGATCCTTTTAGCTGGAGATGCCAAGGATTGAACCCAGGACCCATCTGCATGCCAAGCAGATGCTCTACCATTGAACCATGGCCCTGGGCCTCCATGCTGTTCTGCCACACTGATGACTACTCCCTTATTCAAGATTTCATGAAAAATCTTCTAGAATCTTAATTCTGGAATATCCCTCTAGTTGCATCATGCTGTAAAATGAAGGAGAGATTTGGCAGGTTGTCGATGGCTGCTATTGGCAGCCTGCTGCTACTAATTGCCCAGCTAGCAAACTTGGATTTGCATAGATTGTGAAAAAATTAAGAGGCTGAAGTTGAAAAGTTACTAGACAGAGACAGGAATTGTAGCCAATCCCAGAGAAACAATACACACTTAATATCATCAACCAAGGGATCCAGTTGCCTTCCAAAAATGTGGTTGCACTTGCCTGTTGGTCACTGAGTGGTCTTCTGTGCAGGCACACATGGGGGACTGTGCAGTTGCAGGCCAGCAAAGGAAAATATTTCCAAAGCTCTCTAATAGGCTAGGAGCACCCCTCCTCCGTCTGGCTCTTTCCCACAAAAGCACACACATGACTAGGAGGAGGGGCATAACTCCCTCAGTTCTCTCCACACCCCTGGCAGAGACCCATAGAAATGTAGATTCTAGAGAGTTCACGGCAGGGCAGGAGGGAGGGATGTGCGCCTGCACAGAAGACCACGTGATGAACAGTTACAGGTAAGTGAAACCTCGTTTTCATCTTTTTCTATGCAGTCCCACATGGGAGAATAGCAACTTCACTGAGTAAAGGAGGTGGGTGTGAATCTCTCAGATGGAGACCACAAAGGGCTGCTTTACCATCAGTTGTGTAGTGGCACAAATTAACCTTCACCCTGAAAAGTACTCAGGACATGGACCATGACATCGGAGAAGACGCGTTTATTAGTACTTCACACATGGAACAAAAACTAACAGCCGAGTGGCCAACTATATACAATTGGGGAGGGACGCCCCTAGGTTCTATTGGTGGGTTTGAACTTCCCGCCAATGTCCCTATTGGCTCCTTACTTGAAGTTCAGGAGCCTAGGCCCTATTGTCTTAGGGATTGAAGCTCTAGCTGCCTCTGGCTGGCGCCTGGCAGTGGTCTGAGGACATAACACACCCAGAAATGTCTTATAACAGCAGTAAACTCTGTGCAACTGTGCCTACTGAAAGACATGTAGGAAAGTGTCAAAGAAAAAAACAGCACTACATTTTGACTTGGCAGTCCATAGAAATTGCTAAATGAAGGAACAGATTATTCAAGTCCAACATGCAGTTTAGACTTCAGTCTCAAGAAAGCAGCACTGATGCCATATGGCCAGGCAGCAACTGGGCACAAAGATATTCCTGATTATTGTTCTTCATGTATTTGCTGGCCTTTTAAAGAGAGGATCTTGACATCACAGGAAGCAGGTGTCTTCTGAAGCAACCAGAGCTCCTTTCCAGGTGTGTTTGGAATTTCAAATCTACCTTCCTACAGTCATGCCTTAAACACATACAGATATTTCACAACAATGACAGAAGATTTGGAAAACATAAAATTTACATCTTCAGCAAGAACCAAAATCAGAGTGGTAGCTTTATGCCATAAACAGAACCATAAGTTAGATAATCAGGGTCTTTTGTGTGAGAGAGAATCATTGTGAGGTGTGGAGAAGTTCTAATCCTGGCAGGGCTTTGATGTGTGAAGGTTTTTAAAGACCTTGCACTTCCAAGAGGAAAATTAATGGTTGTGTACTGGCTTTCCAATATAGACTGAACCATGGCTTTTCGGAATATATATATATATTTAAAGCATATTCATTATGACAAACTTTCATGGACTTCATCAAATACATCAAGTGGGTCCTCAGTTGACATAAGTGACAGGTACATGGGAATACAGAAAAAAATAAACATCTGGGTCAATAGGCAACATAATGTCAAATATGCAGGCTGTGACAGTTTTATGAAGAGTTCCAATGTATACAAGATAAGGCATACATGATTCTGTCAAAATCTAGATCAGAATTCAGCCTTGAAACAGCCTTGAGAGAGCAGTATGAAATGTTATCAGTATCTCAAAATGAGTCGCTCTAGAAATGTCACAATCTCTGATGTTTCTCAATAGGCACAGTTCACAGCATTTCATTGCCTTGCGTATCTGTCAACTGAGGATGTACTTTATGCATCTGATGAAACAGGCTCCTAGTCTCTAACTCACAACAACTTCTGCCATAATCAGTATAGTGCTTCCTCACAAAAAGAGTAACTAACTTGAGGAATCCACTGCCACAGGATGTAGTGATGATGGCCACCACTTTAACTGGTTTCAAAAGGGGGATCAGACAAATTAATGGAAGATCATTTCATCAATGAAAATTGAACACAGCCTCCATGTGCAGAGGCAATAAACCTCTGCATACCAGTGCTGGGTTCCATGTCCTGGTTGTAGGTCTTCCAGGACCATCTGCTTTGCTTCTGTGTGAAACAAGATCCTGGACTAGATGGACTATTGGTCTGATCCAGCATGGCTGCTCTTATGTTCTCATGTTTGTTTGTTTTTAAATATTTTATTGAATATACAATAATAACAATAGAAACAAAAATAGTGACACTAATCGTGGTACAAGATACGTAAGTAATGCAAGTACATCTCAGATTTATATAGAAGACAGTCATTCAAAGTTGCCAACTATCAGGCTCGCTGTGCATTTTGCATTTTACAGCTCGCCCATCATCAGGAGAGGAGGTCTCTCTCTCTCTCTCTCTCTCTCTCTCTCTCTCTCTCTCCTTCATGTGCCAACAGCTGTGTATTTTGCATTTTGCAGCTCCCCTGCCATTGAGAGAGGAGGTTCCTCTCTCTCTCTCTCATGTGCCCGGGGCTTGTCACCTTAGCGATGCCAAATATCCTGGCTTCTCAAATGTCTGTGATCCTGTTGTCCTTACTATGTAAAAGCTACGTGCCTATCAGGGAAAGGGTGGGGGAACTGACGGTTAGTTCTGGCGGGCAAATACCGTGGGGTGATTGGGTCCTGATCATTAATGCCTTTACTTGAATCCACTGTATCGGCAACCTTTGCGTGTTTAACTTCAGTCCTAACAACAGACGTGTCCAGGATGGTATCTATCAACTGTCTCAATAAAGTTAGCTTTTTCCAAACTGGCTGGTGTTGAGAACTAATTTAACCAGGAACCTGACAAATTGTTAGGACTCCCTTTTTCTTCCTCATCCTCCTGCACCACAGACGTGATGAGCGGAGAGGACGGGGAAATCCCTAGAACTATGGCGGACAGCACCGCGCTGAAGCAATGGACCATGGCGGCTCCAGTGATGGCCGCGGAGCCTAAAGGAGCTGAGAGTGGGGCACGGACCCGAGACTCCTGGGTGCCTCTCCCCACCTGGGCTGAGCCCACCTGGCTGTTGACTCCTGATCTGAGGTCTGAGAGATTCCTGTGTGACGGTGCCTGATGGTGCTACCAGAGCACATCCATGTTGGGGAGGACACTGAAGTTAAGCTTCTTGGTAGGGAGTTCTGGGGCGAGGCTGAACAGATAAGGCGAGAGATGCAAAACATGATGCTGGACATACCGGGCATCATCTTGGAGGCCATCCAGCAAGAGTTCTGGAATTGGTGATGGAACAGGGAGGGCGCCGCCGGCCCCTCCGTAAGTGCCTCCACTTCTTCCCCCAGCACCTCCAGGTGTTCCTGCTGGCCCAGCCGGGCCGAACAGACTGCCTGTGCCCCCGACAGGTCCGCAGCGGACCTGCGATGCTCTGGAAGAGACATTTGACGCCACTCCAAAGAGGCTGGCATTTCTCCTGTTGCAGATGCACAAGTTCTTATGTGATTGGGGCCCCACTTTCGCCACAAACGAGCACCGTGTGGATTTTATTGAGTCACGCCTATGGGACAGGACAGCTGACTGGTTTGAGGGCCTCCACAACATCCAGGGACCAGAACTCCAAGATGTGAATGCCTTCAAGTTGGCCCTCCAATGCCAATATGAAGACCCCCTGGAGCTAGAGAGAATGCGCACCTGCCTGAGAGACCTGCGCCAAGGGTGGTGATGCCCAGTGTGGGAATACTCTAATGAGTTCAAAACATATGCTGCAAAGCTCCAGGGGTGGCCTGAAGAGGTCCTCATTG